ATGTCTTTTATTTGGTTTCCAGGTAACCTGCATACACAGAGTAGTTCCAATGATCACCCAACTGTCCTCCAGCATGGGCGACAGACAGAGCAAAGCTCGGTCTCTAAAAAAGTAAAATGAAATAAAATTAGAAAACAAATTCTTGGTTGCTATTAAATAATCCTATTTGAGAAGTGGTGCTGGTACAAACTATGCTGTCATTTTTACAAATTGAAAGAATTGTGCTACATTTGGTATGAGTGAGGCTAGAGACACAAAAGATAACAGTTATAAATACAGGCAAAGTACAAAATGTGATCTTGCCTTTGAGAAGCTTATTTATGGAATAGTTGCTGAAGCGAGACATACACATCTGAAGCAATCACTGAACAAAAGATGTTACAACAATAGCTGCCATTTATAGACAACCAAGTATTCGTAGATGTTTTACTGACATTATTCATCTTATTCATCACCTCAGTTTTTTATCATCTTACACTAACCCTACAAGTAGGCGTTATCCCCATGATACAGATAAAGACACTAAGTTTCCAGAAGTTAAACTGACTAACAAGAGTCACACGACTAATAATAACAGTGATGGCCACCACTTAGCAAGTACCCACAACGTGTGGCTTCAGCAGGAACATAGTGACGGATTTGAGACACAGGAGCTGCGACTGGAGGCCAGTCCTGCTCTCACGTTGAAGATCTGAGAGCTGCATTCTCATGGCCGTCATACCCTCTGAAGGAAAGAGCCAGAATTTTAACTCAGAATTTTTCACTAAGTTTTCAGAGAGTCATCATTAGCTTTATTTGGCCATTGAGCAAAATGAGATTCATCATAGAGCCACATGTACAAACTGGCCCTATGTGTTTTTTGAGCCAAAGCATGTTTGGAGCTCCCTGTAGAGTCCTTGTATCTGCATATTCTGGCCCATTCTCATGTCCATTCCAAACACCGTGAAGAATTAGGGTGTGCATTAGCTAAGAATGCTGGCTAAATGTCTGCTTGATGAGCCAGACAATTCCTATTGTGGGGCAGTGAGGAAAGTGGAATGAAGGTCTCCACAATATTATTTGTCATAGGCTTCCATTGACATTGTTATCCCGAAATTCATCAACGATGTATCTGTCAGTGCCAAATGCATTAGCGATGAGAGCTGCCTGCATGCATTCGATGTAAAATTAAACCCAATGTGAAACCAAAATGCATCGAGGCAATATTCTCTTAAAAGTCTTGTGTTTCCCACTGGCTATAGTAGCTGTGGAGAAAATCAAAGCAACTATGAGAGAAGGGAGGGTTTTGAGCAACAGAAGAGAATCTTACAAGTAGTGACATTCCTGATATTATCTTTTTCCAACTAAACTAAGGTAAGTCTAACAGCTATCTCCACAGTCATTGAGGGAATTGACCTGAATAAACTTTTGAAAGATAAACATCTAATTTTTAGTTATTTTCACATTTGGCCATCCCTTTATTGTTCAGATTTTGGGCATATTAAATAGAGGAAAATAAATCTTAGAGCAGTATTTCTTTGCTGCATTCCTTGGAAAATTTCGATCATAGTATGCTTAATGGATGTTAATCAAACATTAAAATTCTAAAGACAAATGAGACTATTGAAAAGTAGATTAAACCAAGAAACAGTTTTGATTGCAGGACTAAATTATGTCTTAATTTTGAAAGTTAAGATTCTCCAAATAAGTTACGTTTATAGCATTTATATATTTATGCGTATATGAAGTCTATGACTCTCCAAACAAGTTATACATATACATACACACACACACGTGTAGTCCATGACTCTCCAAGAAAGCCATATGTAGTATACACACATACATATATAGTTTGACATATTTACCCATGAACTCTTTGACAAATAGTATTTTATCACGTTTTATAGGACAGTGTAAAATGCTGATTTAGAGTTATAAATCAATATAAACTATAATAATATATACAGCAAATATAATACATATATATTTACTCTGAGTACTTTAGAACAAAGGTCTCTTTTTTCTGTTTTGGAGACAGGGTCTTGTTCTGTCTCCCAGGCTGGAGTGTAGTGGCACTATCTTAGCTCACTGCAACCTCAAACTCCTGGGCTCAGGCAATCCACCTGCCTCAGCCTCCCAAGTAGCTGAAACTATAGCCCTGTACCACCACTCCTGGCTAATATTTTAGCAAGGTCTTGCTAAATTGTCTTCCCAGTTTAGTCTCAAACTCCTGGCCTTAAATGATCCTCCCTCCTCAGCCTCCCAAAATGCTGGGATTACAGGTGTGAGCTACCATACTCATTTAGTCTCATCTTTAAAGACTGAGAATTTCCTGGATTTAATGTCTGCTCTTTATTTGGTCCAATATTCTTAAATGCATTAGGGCAATTCCGCGTAATGTCAATGTGGAACACGGGGGCAGGCAATATTCATCAGGGGAGGTGACGTGGAAACAGGTCAAAGAAATAAAAGAACTCTTAGAGGATCATTAAGACGGGTCCCCAAACCAGTCACACTTAGGCAATAATTATAGTTAATAGCATGAGTCTTGGATAAGGAAAACCAGGTGGGCACATCCCCATGAGAAGTTCCTGAAGGAGGCTGTTTGGATAGGACTTGCCACTCCTTATGAAGGGGAACACAGAGACACAGACTGCTCTTGTCTGGGTGTGTCGCCCTTATAAATCCAGATTCATAACACAGGAAATGAAACAAAGGCAGTTAATGAGCTCTAGATCATGACTGCAAAAGGCAACCTGTCATGACTAGTACATTCTCGTGCTCTCTCTTGGGGCTCTAGTTCTTCCAGTAAGCAGTACTGTGATGGCCATATAGCTCTCTTCCCTGCACCATTGCAGGGCCCACACCCTCTCGGGCTTGGCCATTTCACAAAAGAGCCGAGTCTGCTCCCATGCAGAAGCCCCAGCCTCACCTGCCAGTAATTGTAGCTCAGAAGCCTCAAAATGCCAATCACTCAGCAGAAACTGGAGCATCTAAACTGTCATAAGAAACAACCAATTATTATTTTTTAATTTCCCTATTACTTTGCCATGAGATACAGTCCTGGATTAAGAACATAATACACTCTCCAAGCTTACATTCAGAGAGGAAACATGAGGCAGGATGGAATGAAACCAGTGCAGAAAGATAGGCTACGAAATAATGAGTCAATCTGGTGTTGTCATTAAGATTAAATAATGTATCCATTTACTCCTTCATCCATTCATGTATTTGACAAACGTTTATAACCACCTCCATGCTAGGTCTTGGAGAGAGACACAAGAATTAAACTGTTTCTCTTTTTAAGGAGTTAAGTCTGTTTTCAAACTTTGGAATGCATATGAACCACTTGTAAGGATGGTTTAAAATGCAAATCCCTAAGCTATTCCCTTCCCACCCACCCGTAATAGATGCGCATTCTCTGGGGCTTGGGCCAAGGTGGAGTCTAAGTCTTCTTTGTTTATGGTAATTATGATGTTGTGGTCTATGTACCCTACTTAGAAACACACTATTTAGGCACATAGCTGGCAGAGGACCCTATGGAGTCTGAATGGAGTGAATGGGAAAGCATAAGACTTCCAGCATTTCCTCTAGAGTCAGGCAACCCAAGTTCAGATTCTGCTTCCATGACCATCTGTTTGACTCTGGAGAAATTACTTGACCTCTATACATCTCAGTTTTATCTTAAATAACAAGGATAATACTTCCTGTCCCTCGGAAATATTTTGAGAATCAAATGAGATAATATGTATCTGACACATAACTTGGTACATAATAGGTGTTTCATACTTAGTTATAATTATCGCTTTTGTTTGTGGTATTAGTATAGCTGCATTATAATCTGCCAAAATCAACCTATATTAATCTATATTATTTTCAAAATGTTACATTAATAAAAACATATTTGATATATATAGTTCATATAGTATTAGTAACATGTATATATATTAATACATATAACCCATAGAAATAGTGACTTTGACAAAAGCCAAGGGAGCAATTCATGAAACTTTCTATAAACAGAACAGTGACAGCATTGTGTGAAAAATCCTTCCACTCCCTCAGGGGTGAGACACCATCTCTCTCATATTGGGTAAAAAGTACGACAGATTAGCAGATACAGAGTATGTTTTCTAACAAAAGTGGAAGATCTACATTTTATAAAGGTGGCAGTAAATGGGGGCTCTTCTGCACTTTAAAATGAGAAAATCATCAACTATTCTCCATCTAGATATAACCATAATTGAAATTTGGTGGGTGGTCATTTTTTCCTTTTTATAGTTTCATCATTGACCTCAACATACATGCACAACTTACATTCTGCTATTTCCCTTAACATTACATAGTAATTTTCACGTATCATACACAAAATTTGATGACTTATTCCTTCTCTCCCATAATTTCACTAATCTTATTTTTAGAAAATTTACATAACATATCATAAGGAATACTTTACATATGGTGCTTACATATATGCATGTATGTATATACATATGTAATTTTTAGGTGGATTCCTGAAAGTAAAATTACTGAGTGAAGGATATAAATAATCTAACTTTTCAAGGCATATTAACAAATTTGCTTCTGTAAAGATTTTGACAATGCTCACCCTCACCATCAGCAAAAAGGACCAATTTGTCTGGTAACTAATGATATTAAGTGTGCTTTGGTTAATATATTGGCTATGATGTGTCTTTTTCTACAAATGATATATATTCTTTTCTTTTGTCTATTATCTACTGGAAACTCCTTTAATGCTTTTCTCTTCCTTCATTGGTTCCTTCGTTCCTTCTTTATTTTCTTCTTTCCTTCCCTATTCTCTTATCTTACTAAAATAATGGTTTCAGAGTTTTCACAGCATAAGTCTTAGATAATTCAATATATTACTTGTTAAAGCACAACCTAGAAGTATATTTCTTCTCTCTCACAGTAGTGTTATAAGAAGATTACACCAAATTTCACCTTGTAGAATCTCTTTGATGACAAATATATTAACATTTATTTTCCCAGGTAGATCCCCAATGTGGCAGCTTTTAACAGCAGCATGTTGGATGCTTCTTCTTGGATCTATATGTGGTTCTAAGAAAAGGACCACCACAAATCCTGAAGCTAATATGAATATTGTAAGTCATTAAGAAAAAACATCAAACAAGGAATTATTGATTTTTCATCATTTTATATTCAATTGACATGCCTGCCTAATTTTCAACCATTCCTCCAGTGACTAAATCTGTGCTTCCTCCCCTATTTGTTATGGCCAACTAATTCAAGATTTGAAAGATCTGACCCAAAGTAGAGCAGCAATAGTCTATTTCTGGGTGGTCTGAGCTACCACCTAATCGTGGCTTTCTGAAGTTTCATGAGTTAACACTGATGATCTTCATAGAGTATCCTTGAGTTCTGCCTGAGGCTTTTGGTAGAGAGGTTTCTTTGGGTTTGTGAGCTCTAGCTGTATACTCCTTTTGGTTTAGTAAGTCAGAGTTGATTTCTGTTGCTTACAATCAAAAAGTACCCTAACGTGGAAATTCATACCAGACGTGGAATAGAATAGTGCTAGGCAGAAAAAAAAAAAAAAAAGGCAGGTGACAAATGTCCACTATGGGCTTCATTCCAGTGGACTAGGTCTTACTCCTGTCTTCTCTCAGCCAAGCTTGTGTTAGAATCTTGAGAAGCATGAAAATACCAAAGATTTTTTAAGTCTTTTCTTATTCCTCTCTCCAGAGTATTCAGTAAGTACCCCTGATACTTACTGGTACTAAGTCTACCACACTGCTGAACTCAGTCCGTGAATACATGTCCTCAAATCAAATTTCCTTTTCCTCATAATATTCACAGACATTATTTCCCTATTATGAGTGATTTTTGGCTTTTAATCTTTCTAATAATGTTAATAAAAATAAAAACATCTATAGAGCATTTGTTTTATGGTAGGCACGGTTCCAGGTATATCACATATCCTCACAACTTTTATGAGAGGATGCTATTACTACCTCCAATAGTACAATAAGGCATAGGTGGTTAAGTAACTTGCCCAGAGTTACACAGCTAATTAAGAGGAAGAGTGATACTTCAATGCCATCAGGCTGTCTGCAGGGCCTGGGCTCTCAGCCACTGCTCTGGGTGGCCTCATAATGTATACAGGCATCTCTGACATGGGCACAGGCATAACCTTATGAAAAGGCACAGGCTTTAGAGTTTTGGTATTAATCTTGTCTTTGTTTCGCCCTCACGTATAATCCTGGAGAAATTATTCATCTTCTTGAATTTAGTTTTCTCAACTTTCCAATGGTACAATTCTATCTCAAAGGTCGTTTGTTAATGCTGCAAGTGATGCAAACCCCTGTGTGGAAGATTACCAGTGAACACAAGTCCCCCACTTTCTCGTGTATCTGTTAGTGAGGACCTACTGTTGACCACTGTAGACTCATGCTCTGTTCTTTCACCTTTCTCCCTGTGCATGGGGCTGAACTCTAAGGACCAGGTCAATAAGCTCCCTTGAACTTTGGTTTTCAGTTCATTTCAGCTACTGGAAATCTTGAGCAGGAGATAAGAAGGAAAGGGGAAAGTGAGGCCAAGTGTTTTATTGCCCTCACTCCTTCACTGTGAGGTCAGCTGAGACTGGCTGTCCCCTTCAGGATCCTTGTAAGGGCTTCCTCCCATCGTCTTTCAGGTCTAAGTTTGCTAACAGCTTACTCACGAGCCATAGGGCACTACACTATCCCCTGTGGTTCCCCTCATTAGATGACTGTCATTTTTTGTCAAAACACTTTGAGAGTGAATTAGGGTACATTACTAAGGCCAGGCCAACAGGCAAAACCAGGAACCGTCCTGAGCAAGCCAGGGTGCAGGGTTGCCTCACCCTGCCTTACCGATGCCTTTGTATGCAACCCTTCTAGAAATTCTCCCCAAATTCTCCTCATATTTCCTACCACATGCTGTCCCAACATATGTGATGAACAGTAGATTGCAATTTAAAGTACTATATATAATGCATGTATGAATATTACGAGATTACAATGTGAAGGTATCTATTTTCTCTTTCTTTTTTAGAGCCAGATTATTTCTTACTGGGGTTATCCTCATGAAGAGTATGATGTTGCGACAAAAGACGGTTATATCCTCGGACTTTATAGAATTCCTCATGGAAGAGGATGTCCCCCCCAAACAGGTATGACTTATTTTGTTATGAAAGGAAAAATGCCCAAAGCAGAGAGGCTTAGATGTCCTGGGTGGAGCAGGGCAGCTTTTGTTCTGAAATAGGTTGCACTTCCTTTCATTGGAAGAGGAAAATCACAGCTCCCACCCCTTTGTTTAATTTTGCTTTTCTTTTATCTTTTTAATTATAGGTTCATAACAGTTTTATATCTTTGTAGGGTATGTGATGTTTTGATTAAGGCATACAATGTGAATTAATCCAATCAGCTATTTGGGGTATCCATCACCTCAGGCATTTGTCATTTCTTTGTGTCAGGAAAGACACAAAGACACTTTGTGTCCAGTTCCACTCCTTTATTTTGAAGTATATCCTAAATTACTGTTGATTATACTCACTTCACTGTTCATCCTAACCATTTAAATATGTTTTTGTGCCCACTAACCCATTCCTTATAGGTTTTCCAATTATTTGGCCTACAGTGGTTCATGGTCTCTAATGATCCTTTGTATTTCTGCAGTTCAGTTGTAATTGTCTCCTTCTGCAACTCTGATTTTATCTATTTGGGTCTTCTTTTTTTGTTGTTTTTTAGACAGAAGCTCACTCTGTTGCCTGGGTAGAGTGCCCTAGAGTCAGCCTAATTCATAGCAACCTCAAACTCTTGAGCTCCAGTGATCCTCTTGCCTGAGCTCCCACGTAGCTGGGACTACAGGCACCTGTCACAGTGCCTGGCTAATTTTTTTTTCTATTTTTAAAAGAGATGGCCTCGTTCTTGCTCAGGCTGGTCTCAGACCTGAGTTCAAGCGATCCACCTGCCCCAGCCTCCTAAAGTGCTTTCCTAGCTGGGCACCAGCCACTGCTCCCAGCTTATTTGGGCTTCTCTTTCTTTCTTAGTCTGACTAAAAGTATGTCAATTTCATTTACATTCTTGAAAAGCCAACTTTTGTTTCATTGATCTGCTTTATTGTTTCAATTTCATTTATTACATACCTGATCTTTTTATTTCTTGACTTCTAGTTCGGGGTTTCGTTTGCTCTTAATTTTTCTAGATGTTTGAGATACAACATTAGGTTTTTGTAGGAAGCCTTTTTTTTTTTTTCTAATATATGCTTATTGCCATAAACTTTTTTCTTATTACTGGTTTTAATGCACCCCATAGGTTTTGGTATGTTGTATTTTCATTTTTGTTTTGAGAAATTTTTTAATTTCCTTCTTAATTTGTGCATTGACCCACTGACCTCAGGAGCATACTGTTTAATTTCCACATGACTGTTTATTTTCCCATGTTCCTCTTGTTATTGATTTCTCATCTTACTCCATTGTAGGCAGAGAAAATACTTAGCCTGATTTGAATTTTCAATACTCTTTGTGGCCTAACAGTATGGTTTATGCTTGAGATTGATCCATGAGCTGAGGATAGGAACACATTCTGCAGCTGTTGGAGGAAACATTCTATAAGCGTATATTAGGTCCATTTGGTCTCTAGTGCAAGTTAAATCCAATGTTTCTTTGTTGATTGTCTATCTGGATGATCTGTCCTATACTGAAAGTGGAATGTTGAGGTCCCTAGTGATTATTGTATTGGCATCTATTACTCTTGTTAGCTCTGATATTTACTTTATCTGGGTGCTCCAGTGTTGTGAGCATATATACTTAGATTGTTATATCCTCTTGTTGAATTGACCAACTCCTTTATCATTCCATAAGGACTTTTGTCCCTTTTGACAGATAAAATAGCTTTCAAGACAAAAACTAACAGAAGTATAGCTATTCTTGTTCTTTTTTGGTTTCCATTTGCATGGAATATCACTTTCCATCCCTTCATGTTCAGTCTACCTGTGTCTTTATAGGTGAAGTGTGTCTCTTGCAGACAACATATGGGTGACTCTTGTTTTTTATCCATTCAGCCATTCTATGTCTTTTGATTGGAGAGTTTAGGTCATTCACATTCAGGATTGTTATTTGTTGTGTGAATATGTATTCGGACCAGAGTCGCAGAGATGAGACCAGCAGTCACAATGTCTCTGAAGAGTAGGGGCTACCGCTCTCTCAGGCATGTAACACCTTAGTTGATTTCTCACACACTTAGAGACTTGCATGAAACAAAGTTCTGCACGTACACACACTGAATATGCACTGACTGGTATCAGATGGTGTCTAAGATTAGCACACAAAAGAAATGACAAAGCTATAAACCTGTAACCCACTCAGCTGTAAATAACAGATTACTCATCTATGAGGAGCAGATGTAACCTTTAACATTACTGCACACCAATTTGTCTTGATTTTCTACTCCCAGGTCTCTTCCAGGGAGTCCCAGACTTTTCGGACTCTGCCTTCAGAGCCTGCCTCCTCCATGAGTACCCTTCTAAACACTTAGAGGGTCTTCACAGGAATTTCCCCTCTTATGAACTCAGAGTTTCAAGTGTAAATTAATGGTGTACAAAATTACCTTGCAGCTACAGTTATTGGTAGGTAACGCTTACTTCTGCCATTTATTACTCGATTGTTGTTACTTCATTTCTGGTTGTTCTGTGGTCCTTTCTTCCTTTGTTAAAAGTGATTTTCTCTGGTAAAATGTCTTAATTTCTTGCATTTTTCTGTGTCTGTTGTAGGCTTTTTGTTTGAGGTTGCCATGAGGCTTTCAAAAAATATTAACATAACCAATTATTTTAAGCATGGCAACTCTAATAACAAGTAAGCAAAGAGAAATCTAACAGAAATTCTAGACTTTAAACTTCACCCCACCTCTGCTTTTTAATTTTTTGTTGTTTTCATCCATATCTTTTTATACTATAACTTTCAAAAAACCTATCAAAAATAACTACAACATTCTATCTTCAAAGCTTCCTATTCAAGATACCAGTGGTTTATATAGTACAATTATAGCAATAGCATATTCTATATTTGTGTACTCGCGGTTACTAGTTAATTGTATACATTCAGGTGATTCGTTATTGTCCATTAATATCCTTCTCTCTCAGGTTGAAGGAATTCTGTTAGCATTTCTTGCAGGATGAGTCTGGGTGAAATGCCTCAGTTTTTGTTTTTCTGGGAAAGTTTCTCCTTCATACTTGATTTTTGCAAAATATTCTAGGTTTTTTTCCTTCAGCATTTTAAATGTCAGGCCACACTCTCCCAGCCTATAAGGTTTCCATTGAGAAGTCTGCTGCAGACATATTGGAGCTCCTTTATATGCTATTTCTTTCCTTTTCTCTTGCTTCCCTTAGGAACTTTTCTTTCTAACTTTTGGAAGCTTGATTATTAAATGTCTTGAGATAGTCTTGTTAGGGTAAATCAACCTGGTGTTCTAGAACCTTCTTGTGCCAGAATATTGATGTCTTTCTCTAGGTTTGGAAAGCTCTCCGCTATTACTTCTTTGAATAAACTTTCAACCTCAATTTCTTTTTTTTCTTTTTTTGAGACAGAGTCTCACTCTGTCACCCTGGTTAAGTGCCGTGGCATTTTTCTATCTCCTCTTTATAGCCAATAGCTCTTAGACTTGCCTTTTGACCTTATTTTTAGACCTTGTAGGTGTGCTTCATTCTTTTTTCTCTTTGAACTGTGTGTTTGCAAATACCCTGTGTTCAAGTTCACTAATTCTTACTTCTATGTGGTAAATTTTGCTGTGGAGAGATTGTGATCCATTTCTTAGTTTGTCAGTGGAATTCTTAAGCACTAGAATATTTGCTTGATTTTTTAATTATTATTTCAACCCCTCCCTTTTCTTTATCATTTCAATCCCTCTTGAGAGGCTCTCGAACCCCTTCTCTCTGTTGTCTGGAAGTTCATTGAACTTTTTTAGGATAGCCAGTTGAATTATGTGCCAGAAATGTCATATATCTCCATCACTCCAAGATTGGTTAACGGTGTTTTAGTTTGTTTGGTAAGGTCATGTCTCCCTGAATGTTCTTGATGCTTGTGAGTATCATCAATATCCGGGCACTGAAGAGTTAGGTTTATTTTAATCGTCACAGTCTGGACTTATTCAATCTCATCCTTTTTTAGAAGACTTTCCAGGTATTGGAAAGGAATTGAGTATTGACATAAGTCTTTGTTTGCTGTAGCCATTATCAGCACTGGGGGTGGTCCAAGCCCAGTAATGACTCTTGCAAATCCCTGGTGGGCTTGGGTAAGACAGGGGAGTATTCTCTAGATCGCCAGGCAAAACCTCTGTCTTCCCGCACTCTCAGTGCAGGGTTGCTGGACTTGGTGGCGAGATGTCATGATACTTCTTTGTGACTGCCAGTGCCAGGTTACACCTGAAGTCAAGCCAAATCTGAGCTAAAGCCCATGGTGATCATTGCCTGGCTACCTGTGATAGTTATTCAAAGCCCAGGGATTCTTCAGATAGCAAGTGGTGAAGGACTAAGTCCTCCTCTCCAGGATATTATGGGTCCTTCTAGACCCATGTGGGTCCAGAAACTAAGACTTGGACTCAGGACTTCAGGAGTGTACTTAATACTTTATTTTACTGTGGCTGAGCTGGTACCCAATTACAAAATAAAGTTGAGGTGTCTGTTTGGTCTCTCTTTCTTCATAATTGTGTCCTCCTTCCCAACACAAAAGAATGCAACAAGTTCTTACTCTGGCAATACCATTGTCCAGTTTTGAAAACCAGAAACCTAACAGTCCTTCTAGACACACCTTTTTCCTTACCTATCTGCAGCCAATCACCAATATCCATCAATTTTGCCTTCTAAACGTTTCTCTAATCTGCAAACTTCTCTCAGCTTCAATATCCCTCAAAGCCAGGTTTGGATATAATGTCTTCAACTACTACAATAACTTCAAATGGGTATTAATCCACTATAGTCACTTCTCCACTCAAGTAAGCATGATTTTATTTTGTTAAAGTAAATATGACTAAACGTGCCCACCTAGAGGGAGCTTCTCAGCTCAGATCCTTCTCAAATCTGTCTAGGTAGACCTGTCTGCCTCCACGCCAGCATCACCATGTCTATCAGGGTGACCCATAAACCTTACAAAGTGTCAACCTCTGACCCCAGGGCCCTCAGCAGCTGCTTGTACATAGGTGCACCTGGTGCCCACATCAACTTCTCAAGCTTCTCCCAGGTGGGTTGCAGCTTCTGGGGTAGCCTGGGCATTAGCATGGATCTGCATGGGGCTATGACAGAAGTAGTGTTATGGGAGCATCACAGCTGTCTGGTGAACCAGAACTCATTGAGCTCCTTTAAGCTGAAGTGGACCCCAACAGGAGACGGAAACTCAACAAGGCCTCCTTCATCAAGATGAGGTTCCTGGAGCAGCAGAACAAGATCCAGGAGATAAGCAGAGCCTCCTGGAGTAGAAGATAGCAGGGAGCAACGTGCGCAACATACTGAAGCGCTATCAGCCAACATGTTCAGGAGCTACATCAACAACCTTGGGCAGAAGCCAGACCTGCTGGTCTAGGAGAAGCTGAAGCTGGCAGGGGAGTTTGGCAAAGAGCAGGGGCTGGCTAAAGATGGAGCCCTGTGCTTGGAAGCTGGGGTCTGAGTCCTCTGAGGTCCAGCAAAGCAAACAACCTCTGCCACTATCCCGTGGAAGGCAGCTGTGCAGAGGAGCATAGCGGACAGGACCCCGTAAGGCCCTCACACCCTTCACCAGGGGAGTTTACATGGTGCCAGCAAGAGGTACTCCCTCTTGCCCAGGTCCCTAACTGAAAGCCAACTCTAATTTTCTTCCTTAGTTAAAATGTTCAGTTCTATGTTGGGAGTAGGATTTTGATAACAAATTAACAACTCTGCATTCTGTAAAACACTACTTACAACCTTGCATTTTGCTTTCTAACGTTTCGAATGAAATGAAGCAGGGCCTATAGAATGTAGCATAGGTTAGCATACTGAATCTGGCATTCAGTAAAAGGTGACATTTGCTAAATGTTTATTTTGGAAAAAACCTTGACGTTCTCTAAGTAGATGCTTCCTGAAGAATACAATGTTACTAATATGAAAAGCAGTAACTGAGTTAGCATTTATTGTGCTTGAAAGTCTCCTATATATTTTAATTCTCCTTGAATCCTTATAACCATCCAGTGAGGTAGCATTTGTTATTATTTCCCACTAAACAGATAATTAATCCTTTTGTGCTTCAGTGAAACTAACACATACCAGAATGTATTTTAAACCAAGGAAGTCTTACTCTGGCACCTCCATAACATAAGACGTTATATATAACCCTTTACAGATGAGGAAAAATACAGAGAATAAGTAACTTGCCCATGGAAATAGCTTGTAAAGGACTAAATCCCAGGTTTTCCTGACACAAAACTTTATCTCTTAACCTCTCTTCTACACTGCAGGAACATGGGAAAGAAATTTTTTTTGTAGATACTGAGGAAGTTCAGACGTGAAATTCTGATTGCCTGTGTTTTGCAGCTTCGAAGCCTGTTGTATATTTGCAGCATGGGTTAGTAGCATCTGCCAGCAACTGGATTTGCAACCTGCCCAACAACAGCTTGGCTTTCATTCTGGCAGATACTGGTTATGATGTATGGTTGGGGAACAGCCGAGGAAACACCTGGTCCAGAAAACACCTGAAATTGTCACCCAAATCATCAGAATACTGGGCCTTCAGGTAAAGAGAAAGCTACTAATAAATGAAGTGGGGACATTGGTCATTTTTAGGCATGAATACCTGTTGAATTTTCCTTCTCTGTCCAAATGCACCCAATGGAATCAACAAGAAGGAAAAATCTTTCTTGCACATCCATTCATGGGCTGATGGGCCTTTGGGTTGAATACTATTCAGTCATAAAAAAGATAGAGACTTTACATCTTTTGTATTTACCTGGTTGGAGTTGAGCAATTGTTCTTAGTAAAGTTCTTTTCCATCACATGAATAGAAAATCAAGTATCCAATGTGTCAATGCTAATGAAACCAATAGAAAAACAACTACAGCCACACGGGAGAAAAACTCAAGTGTATTCAAGTGGGGGATAGGAGATAAGAAAATGGAAAAGGAGAGGGAGGGATGGGTAAACTCTCACCTAATGTGCAAGTGTCAGGGTACACAGCACACCTCCCGCATTAAGTGCTCAACTACAACTTTACCTTAGAAATGCAAAAATGTAACCTTATCATTTGTATTCTCATATTAATCTGAATTTTTTTTTTTTAAAGTCTGTTTCTACCCAGGCTTCCTTCACAGGCTATGATGAAATGCCCTTATTATTGCACTGTTTGCTTTAAAACCCTCAGCTTCCTTCCTGGTATCTAGGTGTGTGTGTTTGTACCCTGGGGAAGTAAGGAGAAAGCTTGATCAAAGCATGACTAAAGATCAGCCCTGGGGCGTGCGATCTGCTTCAAGGACCAGGCCTACCTGGTCGCAAGGATAAACTCTTGCACTTGCACAGGAGATAAGAATCATGTCTTTTTTTTTTTTTTTTTTTTTTTTGAGACAGAGCCTCAAGCTGTCCCCCTGGGTAGAGTGCCGTGGCATTACAGCTCACAGCAACCTCCAACTCCTGGGCTCAAGCGAGTCTCCTGCCTCCGCCTCCCAAGTAGCTGGGACCACAGGCGCCTGCCACAGCGCCCGGCTATTTTTTGGTTGCAGCTGTCATTGTTGTTTGGCGGGTCCGGGCTGGGGATTCGAACCCGCCACCTTAGCCGCCAGCCACGTACACCTAAGAATCACATCTTAGAGGTCATGAAAGCCCTTTCTTCCTTGGCCTCATTGCCTGGTGTCTTTCAGAAAGCCATTTGGCATTTCCTATTTCCATACCACAGTGTGGTTGTATCATTGCATCATCGCAAGTAATGAGACATTTCCTAGGTGAGTAATTCCTAAACCATATGCAGTGTCAGGAGCACCTGAGGCCATTGAGGAAATGTGAAGATTACCAGGCTTCTTCCCTGAAAATTCTAATTCAGTTAGTATGGGCTGAGGTTGGCAAATAATTTTGCTTTATTATTTGGGTTTTTTCTTCTATTTTAGATAAAAAAAGCAATTACCTGGAATGTTTAAGTTTAGTAAATCTGTTATAGAATTAAGTGAAATATGACTAATCTTACAGGAAAAGAATCAATAGGTCTTAAACCAGATTTTTCTTATTACAGTTTCTTGAAAATATTGATTCTTTTATCTTCAAAAGTTGCATAGATACATGGGTCATATAGTGACTCTAGTTTAACAAATTTATGTCTGCAATGAACATGTTTAAATATTCCAGGCCTACCAATCAGATGTCTTTTTCAATTTTGTTGTTCCTTCTCTTTGACAGTTTGGATGAGATGTCTAAATATGACCTTCCAGCCACAATTAATTTTATCCTAGAGAAAACTGGACAGGAGCAACTTTACTACGTGGGCCACTCCCAAGGCACCACCATAGGTATGTTTGGGGCAGATGTGACCAGAGAATGTCTGGGGTTCTCCACATTCACAGAAGGGATCAGTGTATTTTCTGTCTGTACGGTCTACTTTAGAGACTTGATTTGGGAATTCATTTCCTCTGGGTTCTGAAGTATAAATAAAATAATGATGACATCAGGAAATCTTTCCCTGTTACTAAATTTGAAGGTTGATAAATAAGCTTGAAAGAGAGAATTATTCATTTGCATACCCAATAAACATTTGTTAGACACTGGGCCAGATGCTGGGAAGGCAGAGATACATGTGGTATCCATCCTTCCCTTGAAGATCTCAGTCCATTGTAACGTACCATGCATCTTACATACATCCCCTTGTTGGAAACTGCAAACATCTGAAACCATGATCATCCACATGTACAAATGGCTGCATGGAGGAGTCCTTTCTCACGGAGACAGCACCAAGTAACTCTTACATTGTACTTATATATTTAGTGAAGGTTATACATATAAGTTCATATGAACTTAACCTTTATTAGAATCATCCTACAAGGATTTTATTATCCATATTTATAAATTGAGAAGACTGAGATTCACACAGGGGAAATAAAAAAAGTGGGCAATTTAAGAGAATGTCACTTTCTTGCCCTCAGTAGAGTGCCATGCATCACACCTCACAGCAACATCCAGCTCCTGGGTTTAGGCAATTCTCTTGCCTCAGCCTCCCAAGCAGCTGGGATTACGGGTACCCGCCACAACGCCTGACTATTTTTTTGTTGCAGTTTGGCGGGGGCGGGGTTTGAACCTGCCACCCTCCATATATGGGGCCACCATCCAAAATCAGTGCCTTTTGCAGTTTTTGGCCAGGGCTGGGTTTGAACCCGCCACCTCTGGCATATGGAACCAGCGCTCTACTCCTTTGAGCCACAGGCGCCGCCCATGCCCAAGTTTTTATACAACTTAGAGAATGGAAGACAATTACAGCCCAGTTTTGTCGGATATCAAAGACTATGATCAAGCTGGAATGACCCTTGGAATTCTTAGATATGCTCCACACTGGATATTTAAACCATCACTTCATAATTCTCTATAAGTATACTTTTAGTACTCCCTGAGGGACAAAAAACTCCCCTTATTCTGAATTAGTCAATTTCACCCTTGAGGAATTTAGACATTCTTCTCTGCAAATATTAATAACTTAGTCACCTTTTGTTTTTAATATAGCTACTTTTATCATTTAAAATGAAAAAATTGTTTTAAAACTTGAATGAGCGTCTTCTTCCCTTTCAGCCTTCATAGCATTCTCTACAAATCCAGAACTGGCTAAAAGGATTAAGACATTTTTTGCACTGGCTCCAGTTGTCACAGTAAAATACACCAAAAGTCCTATGAAAAAATTAACAACTCTTTCCAGACAAGTAGTCAAGGTACGTGATTTCTCAAGTTTAAATTTGAAATAGAAGTAGCTTGCATGGATTTCAGAAGACAAATGACATTTTTAAAACTTCTGAAAATGTAACAAAAACTTTAGGGTATTCATGTAGGTTTGTTGGTATTGTATAATCTTACTAGCAGGACTCGGGGAGCTCCTGTGATGATCTTATGGTCTTTACCTATGTATAGAAGGCTTTTCTTCATATCACCCCTCAGTTATGCTAAGGCAAGAGCTATCTTGATTTCTTAGATTTGGTAGATTAAATTTCTCTTGGATGAACCCTAATTTTTCAGGGGCAGTATTGCATAGTAGTTAGGCTCATAGCACAAAGTCAGACAGTATAGGTTTGAATCCTATTTCTGTGATTTGTTAGGTAAATGTGGTCATGTCCTTAAGCATGCATGCTTCATCTGTACTGTGGTAATAATAATAGTATCTATTCATAGGGCTATTGTGAGCATTGAGTTAATATAGCAAACCCTTCAAAACCAGGGCTTGCACATTGTAAGCCTTTAATAAACGTGAGCAATTGTTTTTACCATCATTATTTTCACAGAACACACCCTTCCCTCTTCACTAAATGCCCAACCTTGTTTTATTTCCCATCACTTCTCAGGCTTCATTATCCCAGCTCCCCAAAACTCAGGAAATACTATCAGCCCCAGTTAGCTAAAGGTAATGACCTGATTACCTGGGTTCTCCCATGTTAATTGCCTCCCATGATGGGGATTATACTGTTCAGTGATTTCAATGAGAGCGGATAAAAACAATTCTTACAGAAGCCAGAAGATTCTGATTGAGAGCCGAAATTAGCTTAGAGTAATGTGAGTGCATCTCTCTGCAACTCAGACAGGTAGCAGAGAAAAACCACCCGAAAAAAAATGGGAAATGCTCACATTGCTCTGTTAGTCCTTGGGCCTCTCATACCCTTGAGATCAATCTGTCCAGGTCCCACAATGTTAAGTGAACACTGGACATTTCACTAAATTATTTCAGTATTGCCATGCAGTTAAGAGATATTCCAGGATGGTGGGATCTCACCATTCCCCTCAATTTGCATAGCTCTGCTTCAAACTTCCACATGCTTGAATGTGTGGGAAGTGGTGCAACTCAAGTCAATGCAACACAACTATATCTAGGAGATGCTGATTGAAAATCCTGGCATCAGGACACAGCTGTCTGTAAAGGGCCCTTCAACCAGCTGGTATGACTGAAAATCAGGGTATACATGAGAGTAATAGGAGATTCAATATGCAGAGAGTAGGGCAGTGGAAGGTGGTTACGTCATGTGAAGAAGTTTAGACTTTGTTCTGTTACTGATGAGATGCCATTGAAGAATATTAAATAGAAACATGGCTTGATCACACTTGTAATTTTAGAAATATTACCCCTTATAAATTATAACTCCAATGTAGAAGCTTTAATTCCAATGGAGGACCTACCAAACATGACCCACGGATTTTTTTTTCTCATAACACAACTGGGTACATTAATGCAATCATGGTGTACAGTGTGCTGTTTTCATATACATTTTGAAATATTCTCATCAAACTGGTTAACAAACCTTCATGTCATTTTCTTAGTTATTGAGTTAAGACGTTCATACTTTCACTTGTACCCTTGTAAGGTAAACCATAGGTGACCTCACCAATCTCCCTCCCTCCTTTCATCCACCCCCCCTCACCTTCCCCTCCCACCCCATTCCCATATTCTAAGGCTATAATTAGGTTATGACCATCCTATAAAAGCCATGAATTAGTTTCAAAGTAGGGCTGTGTACATTTGTCAGTGGTGTTCACTATCCCGCTTCTGGCACCACTTGTCAGGAGCCGAGACTGGCCAGGCCTTGGGCCCAGCTTTGGCAGGTTCCGGACATGGACCACTAAGCTCCCTTGCTCAGGAACAATTTCTTAGGTGCTTGAGGGCTATCTACTGTTAGCTGGAGAGAGAGAGATAGAGTGTGTTTTAGAGAGTAAAGCAGTCTTCTTAGAACAGATAGATCTTAGTCTTTAGCAGAGCTTGGTAATCTTCGGCAGAGAGACGCCGTGCTGGCGTTCTGCAGGCAGGAGAGGAGACAGAGTCAGTAAGCTTGTCCCTGACAGAATGCGCATGCTCCCGATTGCCTTCTCCTCCAGCCTAATATAAGGCTGAGCTTGTGCCTCTTAACCCCACAGGTGTAGCGACTGCCAATTCACCACTGCTCTCATCTCGCGAGCTCTCTCATGCTTGTTAGAACTAAATCTCTCTCCATGCCCTTTTCACCAAGGTGTTCCATTACAGGTATTTCTTATAACTCTCACTCCTCCCTCCTAGCCATAGGCTATACAGGCTGCTACATTTCCCCCCTTTTTTATATACAAACAAAATAACTTTTAATGTGGTAAGGGCAGTTCTTCCTGTTATCTAGCCCTTTTCTTTCTAGGCAAAAGATGGTAATTATCAGTTCAGAATTCCAGGTATGGGCTCTTTAAGTGAGGAAGCCCAACACAGATGTAAACTATTAGCCACTGCTAGAGGAAAATGATTGTGATGTTAATTCCCTTAAAGGTCTTTTTAAATGGAGAAAACTGAAATCTTTCCT